GAGCGCCTGGTCTAGCTGCATGGAGATGAACCTTTTCCAAAGAGATACAACTAAATAACAAAACATGCCGCCAGCCGCGTCTGCAAGAAGCAGGATGCCGCTGTGGCAGCAGTAAGGGGAAAACAAAGAACAGGATGGCAGTTGATTGTCATTGTGCCAGATCATTCTGTGCCACTGGAGAGGAAAAATATGCTACATCTCCACATCTACGATCCATGACACACTGCCATGTAGACGACATGCTGGAGGCCGAGTGACTTCTAACCACTAGCCTTTTGGTTAGCAGCAGAGTACTTTAACCACGGCACCACCAGGGCTCGTAGCTGGAAAGACGATAGTCAAGAAAACCTTATGGAAAATCCTACCCTGTAACACCTGGGGTCACTGTGAGTCAAGGACTACTGAGACACCAGCTAACAGGAAAACGAGTTATGTTTAAAGCCCTGTTAGTTCTCTCAAGTTCCCAAATGCAAGTCCTTTCTATGTAAGGAACCTATTGAAAGGACCAACTTCTCGTGGACGCTTTAATCGGAGCATTCTAAATGCACAAAGAGTAAGAAAAAAGATAACATGAGGTTCAACATCATCTGTCCTACATGAGTTTATATTTCATAATGAATGATTATGAGTATGATCCTATAAATGTGTAAGGTTGAAAATTCTCCATATTTAGAGCACGAAAGTTAGATTCACCTAATTCCGGTTTTCTTTTTAAAAATGATAGCTCTCAAAACTGATTTTTTCTAATATACATGTGGGCTTCAGAATGTGCATGGAAACATGGAATTAAAATTAATATAACTTTTTAAAACCACCTTTCATACCTACACTATTTTCAAATTATGGGACGTGGGTATCTTCCAATACAGGAGTGTAGGTCTACCTTTTTACTTTAATTCATACTAACTCACTTCTAAAATTGGAAAGCAAAAGGAGTAGATTTTCAATGGTTCTGGCTATTAGGTAAAGTATGTCCATTGGATAGAATGTTGAGGTCGTTACCTTTTCCTTCATTATCAACAAGAGTCATATCAGCTTTTGCCTTGGCTAGTCTTTCCATCGATAATTCATGGCCCAGCTCTGCGGCTCTCATCGTCGGAGTACAGCCCATTCGGTCTTGCACATCAGGGTGCGCACCAAGCTCCAGGAGAAAGCTGACCATATCAATGTCATTGGAAACCGAGGCTAAGTGCAGAGCACTGTCGCCATTGACAGGTTCGGTGAAATTGATTAGTTCAGGGTATCCAAGCTTGGTCAACTTCTCTATTTGCTTCTTGTCTTTGTTCCGAACACACTGAAGAACTTTGTAGATTTGCAAGTTTTCAAGTCTCCTATCGGTTAAAGCCATCCTTGATCAACTTCTTGAAAATGCTTTCTGGACCCAAACAAAACTATAACAGTCAAAAGGGAGAAAACAAATAGCTTAAAGTTCATTTTATCATCTGTGTGTTGAGAAAATGGCAATCAGACTTCTTAATATCTAAGAACAGTTTTTTTTTAAAGAAAGCTTTTCATTGTGAATTGGGTGAATGTTTACAGAGCAGATCATCAGTTTTACATTCAGCAATTCACATACATATTTTCCCATTCCATTGATTGCAATTCCACAAAGTAATAGCACTTTTCCCACTTTCTCCCTGTTTCCTATTTATATTCCTCCTTTCCTAACCCTTCTGAACGTTGTTCTTGAGTGAATGCTGCCCTTTTGATTTCAAATCATTGATTACTATAAGGTGCATGTGCCTCACTAGTGTTAGTTTCCCTCGTATACCTAGCTGAAGATTGAGCTGTAGGGGGGAGTTCATCAATTCCAGACCTGAAGGGTGACTAAGGGTAGACTTTGGGGAGTTATCCCAGTCTCTACTCTACCAGGAAGCCTAGTTTTATTTACAATTTTGTTTTGTTCCATATTTTTTCACAATATATCCAGGACCTTCTAATATGACCCTTTTCAGAGTCACTGGTCGTGGTTGCTGAGCACCAGCTAGTTCTTCTGACCCCAGGGTCATGGAAACGGGTGTTTACAGGATCAGAGTCTACTGTACTAATGTCTCCATGCATATTGGAGTTTCTTTCACTCTTCTTTCCTACAAGTGGGGATTGACCAATAGTTGTACTGCAGATGGCAGCTCAGACCTTTTAAGACCCTAGTTACTACTCACCATCATAGGATGTAGATAGGACATTATCTTTGTGAACTGTTATGCCAATTGACCTGAGAGTCCTCCAAGACTATAGCCCTAATCCCACAAGACCACTGGACTCATTCCCTCAAGGTAATTGGTTATGTCTAAGAAGTTTTCATAGATTTGTGCTCTATATACTCAACCACATTTATGGATATGTTTGCAGCAAAGGTAAATAACATTCAAATATCATCTGTCCAACCTATATGCATTGTGAATATACTTCCACTTTCCCTCTCACAACCTCAGTGTCTGTTCATACAGATACACATAGTCCATCATTACTGCATGATCGTGTATGTAGTCATATTTACCTCTATTGTAAGAAAGGTAATTTTATGAAACGTTCTTGCAATAATTTATTGGAGTTGATAAATGAAAGTAGAATTAACTATATAAGCAAAAATACTCAATCCATCTGAGGTTTTCAATATTTAAAACAAAATTTCCTATCATAATTAATCTTCCTAGGCAGTATTCTTGTTACTTTTTTACCCCCTCCTGGCCACAGCCTTCCCATTGTACCCATGAGGAAGATGACGGTAATTAATTTGGCAAGGTGAGGATCTCAGCATTCAGCGATATGACTCCATACCTATATGCCCCCAACAATGCTAAGGCCATATAGAAGATAGTCATAAGTAGGAATCTCCTAGGATCTGAGAGAAAACAAAGAAACAGTGAGTGATTCCAGGGCATCTTCAAGGGCAATGAGGTCAGTAAATGATTGAGCGATAACTGCATCTTGTCAGGAGCAAATCCCACTGCTACAGTGTGATGAGCCTGTGCATGTGTAATTTAACTCCTTGTTTTTGAGGGGGAAGTGGGGTTCCGTAATAAGTCAAGCTAGATGTACTTTTTGTCTGCCCAGCTTCCTCTGCCAACTTAATTTTTTTTCAGGTTAAAGAATCTTGTTATAAGATGGGGAACCATCTTAGATAGTCTGAATGGGGCTGCCATTTCTACAGCCTACCAAAGAGAGGGAGTGCACATGACATAAACTTGGCTTATCTAAGTGGACTGTCCCCATGGGTACAGCCAATCCTCCAGCTTACGGTCTAAAAGCTATCATACAATTAACATTCCAGAGAATCCTATAAGAAAAGGTGACTAATGCTGTTAAAATTGCTTAGCAATCAGGTGTGGGGCTGGGGCCTCAGGGTATGACAGCCACTGGGCATCGTTTAGCTAGAGACTGAGATTGATGGCATGCATCGTGTCCTGGATAGGGATATGTCAGACATCACCTATTTCTATTTTTTTACTCATGAAATCTTGCATATACAGTTATTGTTTATTTTTGCATAACGTATTTAGCTGGTTGTCTGTAATTTACAATGAAAATATTTAGACTACTACAACATCTAGAACTATTCACTCTCTTACATGGCCTGGATCCTTCAGTCTCACTAACATTCCCTATGGCAGTGGGTTGCACTGTTAACTATTCATTTCTAGTTTGATTAACTGTGTCTCTCTAGGCAACCATAATGCGGCTTCGCTTCCTCTGACCTCACTGCTCGCTCCTCATCAGTGGTGAAGTGAACTTGCTTAAATACGGCTTGTCGATCCATTTCTCTACAACTCCCACCAAATGATTGATTGACACCAAGACAATCAGGTATAGAGGACTTAGTCCTCTGACTATGAGAGCCATTTCAGAATCTGTAAGGAAGACATTCCCAGGACTACCAAGAAAGGACCACCACAAGCCGAGCTCATGGGAGATCCCTGCCCAACGTGGTAGAGGCAGCAGAGGCAATGAAGCTGTGGCACACAGACCATGTGACAGAGCAAAGAAGCCATGCCAAGAAAGAGCAGGGGGGATGGGGCCAAGACTGAGGCAATGAGGCAGAACAAAGCAGCCTTCTTGGCTCAAGGAGGCCACGGTCAAGGGACCACATATCTGAGAGGGTGGAACCAAAGAGAGGCTAGGCTGCTAGCTGAGGAGAGGCATTGCTGCCGACCGAGGACTGTATCCTTAATGTTGTATGATCCCAACTTGTGGTAACCTATTAACTTTCCTAATACACCTCTATAAGCTTGAGTATTGTCTGTGAGAAACCATCATTAAAGCTTTACATGTTTTATTATGTATTTATCCTTCAATCTATTTTCTATTTATTCATGAATCCAGCTTTTCAAATCCATTTCAAAATAAATTGCAGACATACTCCAACATGCAGATATTCATTGTAATTCAATGTTTTTACTCTCTTTTCCATTCTTGTACTTTTTAATATGTAACAGAATGAACAAATATTAAGTATACCATTCCATGAGTTTTGACAAATGCATACAACTAACTGCATCTCAAAATCCTAACAAGATGTACATTATGATTACTCTACAAAGTTCCTACCAGGCTATCTTTGAAGAAAACTTTAGGGGATTTCCTTTCCAATCAAAGGATTCATGATGGTCTCTTAAGGATTGTTTTCCTGTCTCCCTCTAACTCAGCTCTCTTAAACACAATGGCCTTTTTCTGTTTACGGAGCCAAAAGCTCATCCCTGTCTTTGAACCATTGTATTTCTTGATCCACCTGTTGGTAACATTCTTTATTCATAATTTCCTTGGACTGGTTCTTCTCATCATTCAAATGTAAACCACCATGTTGTTTCATATCCTTAGCTTGTTTTATTTTCTTAAAGCACATATTTGTTATTGTCTGAAAATGTTCGACAGAGAGATAGATACAGATTATAGATATAGGGATGGACATAAAGCCAAATCAAACAAACCCATTGCCACTGAGTCCATTCAGATTCAGCTACCTTAAAGGTCAGAGTAGAACTGCCCCAAAGGATTTCCAGGGCTCTCATCTTTATAGCAGAATGACATCTCTTTCTCCCACGGAATGGCTGCTGGGTTCAAACCATTGATCTTTTTGTTAACAGCAAAGCACTTAGTCACTGCACCATCAGGATAGATATTCCCACTGGTGAGTTTTCTCTCCCCCACTAAAATTTTTTTGGAAGCAGAGAAGCTTCTAATATTATAATCACCATGATTTCTCCAACACCCAGAACCTGCCTCATAGGAGTCATTTAATAAATAGCTGCTAAATGAATGATCATTCAAAGCTCAAAGAATTAAAGGAGAAGCAAGAATCAAAGAAAACTACAGATTTCAGACTTGTGCAGCTGGATGGATAGCTGGATCTGCGGTTAGAAGTTTAGACTAGGGTTCAGCTGAATCAAGGAGAGTAAACAGTTCATCGTTGGACATGCTGAGAGGGAACACAGCAGACAATAGGATACCTAATTTGGAAGATCAGGAGAGAGATCTAGCCTGGTCTCTGAGGAGGAATTAGTCTGTAGGAAGCTGTGAACAGCCTGAGCCTGGGAGGCGGCAGCAGAGAGGGGTTTCAAGTGAGATGCTGCTGCATCTCTGTTCTTCAGCAGTGAGTGAGTGAGTGAGTGAGTGATTGAGTGAGTGAGTGAGTGAGTGAGTGAGTGAGTGTACATGCTTCATTCTTTGCTCCTGGGACATCGGCCACCACATGGCTTATGGCTTCAATGAGCTGTTTGCTATAGCCCCTCTCTTTCCTTGAGAACCTGTATAATTAGGAAACTATACCACAGCATATTAGAACTGTGTATTAATGCCCCTGGGGGGATCCTCTGGGTTATCCACCTTACATTACTGCATGGTTTGTTGATATTTGCTTTGGATTTTTCATGGCTTGTTTTATTATTATCACCACACACGTTTACAGCAATAGGGTAAGTTCCTTCTGAATAGCTTACGGATTGTCTTGAAGCCATGGCCCCCAATTTGTGTCAACACTCACTACCTAATCAGAATAATCAAGTCTCTCATTGCACCCATTCCTAACAGTGACTTGGCCGGTTTGGCATTGTCTAATCAAGCTACCATGATGAATTCCACCGTCTATGGGCGGGTTCACGATGGATTGCCTCCTTCCTAGCCAAAGGCCCCAAATGCTCAGAGGAGAGTTGTATCTGTGGACTCAAGGCAATCCCCTCTCCAACCACGACACAACCTAGGTCCTGCTCTATACCCCAGAGTTCCCCTCACGCTGTAGAGGGTACTTAATCTTGGCGAGGGTCCCCACATATACACATACCTGGACTTGCCCTCAGTAGGTCCTTGAGACACCTTGGTACCTCTTTTTTCTTCATTTATAGTGACAGTTTCCAAAGGTAAGAGATTGGAACGGATTGTTTTTAACCACAGGCCCGTATTTGGGGGCGTTTAGGAAAACCCTAAAACTGGACAGAAATCTGTGACTATGTACGTGTTGCAGGTACATCCTGCCTCTCTGGGGAAAAGTCCTCAGAGCTCACCGGAGGTTCTGAGACAAGACTGGTGAGTTAGAAAGCAGATCAGAGGAAGGCAAACTTAGCAGAGTGGAAGTGTTACAGGTCTTGAAGCGGGAAATCTCTTTTGTTGTTGCTGCCTGGGATCACCCACTGTGTCCATATTTACAAAACCGAGGTAGATGAATCGCGTAGGCTACCTGACTAGTGGGTCCCCTTGCCTTCACCTGTGAATTGCAGATAAAAACAGCACTCACTTCATGGAACTATGGACATTGATCGATCTTTGTACTTTGCAAAGATCCTCAATACAAGCGCGCCATGAATAAATCAATACAACAAGCAGTGTGTGTGTGGAGGGGGTTTCAGCTCACCCATGGCTTTTCAGTGGCTTTTTACAGTCAATTTTCCGCGTAACCGCTCAGAAAAATCCGGAGAGAGAAAGGTCGAGTTGGAAGGGCAGGGGCACGGCAGCAGGGACCTCCCTGGGCAGCTCACCTCCTAATCATCCAGGCGGCTGGCTGCCTCCGATCTGCCTTTCCCTCGGCCGGGCGCCCGGCACGGCTCCGATTCTAAGTCTCCGGCGTCTCCCTGCGCCGGGCTTGGGCGCCCACGAGTGAATGGAGTCCCTTTCGGCACAGGAGGCGAGCCGGCGCGCGGGACAGCAAGGAAGAGGGTGTGCGCGTCCATGGGCCCCGGCTCCACGCAGCGCGGCGCGAGGCCAAGGGCAGCCCCGAAGGCGTGGTGGGAAGCCCCAGGGGCAGGCCCAATTGTGATCTCCAGCCACGCGCTGCCCCGCTGCTAGGGCAACCGCTCAGGTACTCGGCGGGGAGGGGCTTGTCTAGGGCCCGCCTACCTGCTGTCCCCGCCCCGTGTCCCAGCTTGGGAAACAGGATGTTGGAGGAGGACCTAGCCTTCCCTGGGCCATGGAGGCTAGGGGCCACTACAGCCAGAATTCCTCCCTTCTTCATCTTCCCCACTTTCCTGCTCCCATGAAAATAATAAATTAATTGGAAAAGCAATAGTTACAAACAGTAAAAAAAATTTTTTTAAGTTAAAAAAGTTAACAAATGAAATGAAAAAAATAAATGAAACAATTATTCTCAACAATTTTTAAAAAATCTTCGCAGAAATGGTCTTTGCATACTCTAGGATGCATATATGCGTATAAATATTTATGCACATAAATCGGAGCAGTTATATCACGGGGATCATGTTATTTCAGGGCCTACAAATTTGCCCATCCACACACTCTACTGGAGACAAACTCAGAAAGCCTTTATTTACTTATTTATATGGATGTATAAACGTATGGTTTCTTTTCAAGTAACATGAGATAGCTTTCAGGGACAGTTCCTCATCCAGGCCATGCTACTTCTACCCAGAGACTCTGTCTAAAAATATTGCTAAGGACTATTTCATCACACAAAAGAATGCACTCTACGACATATGTAAAGTATGACAAACAAAGCACATGTATCTACAGGAGGAGACAACGGTCTCTCCCAGCAGGCCCTGCAGATGTTCCCCTTACCCTACATTGTCCCTTACCTGCCACCCCACCCCCAACCAGAACACCACGCTTCTGAATTTTGCATTTATCATTCCTTCACCTTTAAAAACTATTTTAAATTCTTAAAAGGTTTCATATGTGTTTTCTTAGTTGGTGAGCTTAGGGTTGCATGTTTAGGGAAATACAAAAATGGTGTCAAATGGTGAGAATTCTCTTGAAAATTTATTTCCTTTCAGCATCTTATTTTTTAATGCAATTTTGTAGCTCATGTATAACTGTAGCGACCATATGCCATTCTATTGTATTATATGATCAGGTAACAGCTATCAGAAGACCCCAAACAAACAAAAAAACCAATATTGTTGAGGGGTGTTGGAGCATAGACCCAAAACCCATTTATAGACAATGGGATATCCCCTCACAGAGGGGTCACAGGGAAGGGATGAGTCAACCAGGGCGCAGTATAGCACCAACGAAACACACAACATTCCTTTGGTTCCTTGCGGCTTCTCACCCCCCACTATCATGACCCCAACCCTGCCTTTCACTGTGGGCTAGACAGGAGCATGCACACAGGTACAGATAAGAGACAAGAGTTCAAGACCCACAGAATCCAGGAACAGGAATGGGAGTAGAGATACCAGGAGGGTAGGGGAAATGTGGGGGTTCAGGGGAGGAAGAGGGAATAGATCGCAATGATCAAAACATAACCACACACACAAACCCAGTACATTGGGAATAAAAGTAAGTTTTATTGTGGAATAGCCACTCAAGGTGAGAAGTGTGTCCCGTAGGTCTACTAAGTACTCGAGTCTTAGGGAAAGAAAGAAGTCTATAGATAACAAAATTTTCAGAAACTTTTAAAGGAAATTTCTGATTGGTTGATGTTGTAAAACCCCCAATCAGACCTAAAGTTAAGACACTTGCCCTTTTAAAAAACCAGCTCTTTTGTTTCACACAACAGGCTTCAGAACCAGTCTAGATAAAACATTTGCAAGAATATTCTGTGCAGGCAAAGATGCATCTACTAAAAAAAACCACATTTTAAAAACAAGCAAAAAATAAATTAACTCTCTGTCATTGAGTAGATTCCAATTCATGGAGACCCGTTAGAACAGTACTTAACAAACCATATATTTTAGTCATTAACCTTCAAAGATAACTTCAAAATAAGTCAAGGTTTGCATGCTTATGGGAAAGCAGAGCAGGGGCAAAATGGAGGTCAACTCCTCAGATTTAGATTGCTCTGACATACTTCCTCCTTCTGATCATGAATTTCTCCAGACATATTTTGATGACCATTATAAGTGTTTTCTTCCACATGGCTCATTGATGTATAGAAGTAGAAACTAATCTCAGATAGCCACTTATCATCTTTCAGCTTTTAAGAGCCCAGATATTATGAACGAAGATGGTAGCCATGCACCAACTAGGTTAGGGCTCTTACCATGCTATATATTGAACACTTTGCTTCCTTGATGCATAATTTAGTTTTGTGTAGAGCTAGGCCACACTAGAGGAATAACTTGTCACTCAAAAAAGTCAACCTTAAGGTGTGAAATATGTCACTTTATTCAACTTAGCTGTTTGTTTGGTTTTTTAAACCATTTTATTGACACATAATTCACTCAGCTTAGGTTTTTTTTAGGTACATACCCTGTTTCCCCAAAAGTAAGACATCCCCTGAAAATAAGACCTACTTGCAGTTTTGCCTCTTCGCTGAAATATAAGGCATTCCCCCCAATAATAAGACCTCCCCGAAAATAAGGCCTCCCCGAAGCTACCTTAACTCTGGACTCTGAAGCGTAGCGGTGGGCGCAGCCACGCAGCTCACTATTGGCCGCAGCAAAGCCGGAGCAGACAGGAAGTGCGAGGTCTCTTTTAATAAAACAATAAATGTGTACCATATTCTTCTTCATGGAAAAATAAGATATCCCCTGAAAATAAGACCTAGCTCATCTTTGGGAGCAAAAATTAATAGAAGACACTGTCTTATTTTCAGGGAAACAGGTTAATTATTTTCATAATCATAGAAATCCCTGATCTATTGAAAGTATTAGATGAGCAATTCATACAACATTTAGGAAGTCCTCTAATAATGTTAAAGAGCAAGGATGTCACTTTTAATTGCCTCATATGTGTGTGGAAGTTGGAAATTGATGAAATAAGACTGAAGCAGAATAGATGTGTTTTAATGATGGTGCCGATGAAGAACATTGAAAGCACTATGGACTTCCAGAGGACCTACCCCGATGCAGCCCTGGGTGCTGGAGCAGCCGTGTGGAGACCCCTGCCAGCGCTGAGATGCTTACATGTTCACTGATTCGGCTTTCCTTCTGCAGTCGGCGTCATTGCATGTATTTTGTAAGATGCAGGAGGACTTTGTAGATTGGTGTTGGACAAATGGGCTAATGTTGGATTTATGGGCTTAGGCAGCACTGGGTGGGATGCTTTCTTAATGCACACTTACTCTTTATATAAAACTCTCTGTTATATACATATGAGTTTTTATGAGTTGGTTTCTCTGGTTTACCCAGATTGACACATCTGTCTTGGAAGAAGTGTAGTCAGAATGCACCCTACAATTGAGGAAGGCAAGACTTGATCTCACATACTTTGAGCATGTTATCAGGAAGAAACTACCTGTCTCTAAAATGGATATCATACTTGGTAAAGTAGATAGAATATGAAAAAAAAAAGGAAGACTGGACAATATGGATTGCCACAGTGGATTGCCATGGACTCAAATATAGCAATGGTGAGGATGGAGCAAGGCCAGGTAGTGTTTTGTTGTGTTGCACATGGGTTGCTATGAGTTGGAACCAACTTGACACCTAACAACAACATAATAGTGATTATTCAAACTCAACTCACTTTCATTGAATCGTTCTGACTCAGAGGTTAGCAGTTCGAAACTACCAGCTTTTTCTTGGGTGAAAGGTGAGCCCCGGAAACCCAAAAGAGGTCATTCTATTCCATCCTGCAGGATCACTATGAGTTGGAATAATAGGGATTATAGGAATCAAAAGACTCAATCCAGTTTGTAATATAAAATATAACCGAGAGCTTCATACTGAAAATAAAATTATCTAAAAGTAACTTTAAAAAACAAATAACATAAAATAACAGTTATAGGAAAGTAAATCTTTTTTGTCACTTCCTGGAGGAGATAAAATCTTACCAGAAGGTAATACCACAAGTATGCAACAAGGCAAGAATAGCTATAATCAGTAAGCAGAATCCATACATTCCAGCAACTTGTCTGAGGTCTTGTTCCAAGATCTTGACCTACTTGTCTGCCTGGGCAGTCATCTGCTTCTGACCATGAAAGAAAAAGATGCTTTCTTGTATGTGTTGATTGACCAAGGTGTAAGATATATAAATTTATATAGAAGGGTCAGTTAGTAGTATAACATGGCATCCAGAGTCTGCAGTACATAGATATGGTTCTTAGAGATGCCTTAGTATTTATAAGAAAGCTTAAAATATATCTACATTTTTCCATAAAGGAGTAGGACAGTCTATCATAAATAATTATCTTTTCTTTCCCTGGCTGCTGTTTTATCTGTAGTAATAGCATTTTATCCATATAAAACATAAATAAATCGTTGTTATGCCCATGATGTTTTAAAGTTACCAAGAGTTTATCATAGGTAGCTGAGAAATAATATTTGGCTTATTTTATCAAAGATATTAAAGATTAAGACTTTAGCTTTTGCTATAATCAAGTAGCTTGATTTCTTAGCCAAGGGTATAAAGACTAACATAAATGTATAGACACAGAACCTTTGCCTTCTAAGCAGATAAGACAGGAAAAAAGTTAACTAAGGAAATAAAACTATTAAAACTGAGCAAACTTTTTGCAGTATTTTAACTTGTTTCATGACTTTACAAATTCACAGATTTATTTTGCTGAACACTTGCATTCAAAGCAAGCTGAACAAAGAACGAAATTAACACTTCAGCCTTGTAATTAAAGAAAATTTTGTTAAATTAAATCCTTTGCCATTTGATATTAAAAGTCTTAAAATTTTTTCATAAATTAACTTACTAAAATT